AGATGGAGCTCGTTAGCCCTGTAAGGCAATCCATCTACGTCCTGAGGACCTCGCTGCCACCGTCCAAGCGTGCTTGGCCCCGGCAGATGAACCTCAGGATTAAAGGGTGGGCTCAGTTCCGCGCACACTGTGTCTCACCTAAAAAATCCAATGCGCAGGCTGGAAGGTGGAAAGACCTTCCCCCGTTCTTCGTTCGCGAAGACTGGCCATTACTTACTAAATTAAGCTGAAACCGAGCTTGTTTGTATCTCTCATCGTGTTACTGGCCTTGTGTGCACCACATCACAGATGATACTAGCATTGTTTTCACTTCTCTGATGGGTTCTCTTTTATAGATACATAAACAGTATTTTCCTGTTTAGTAAATCTGTTGGCTTTAGGTGGGAAGTGTGCTTTGATAAAGAAAAATATTTGTGTTGTCAGACTGTCTGTAGTAGTTTTATCTAAATAAAAGTTAAAACCCGCTCTTTAAATGGTATTTTAGTATGTTTTCCAGTAAACCTGAATTGTGGATTATGTCTAAATGAAGCTTGATTCTAAGTAATTTATCATTTTCTAATAGAATAACCGTGTGAAATGGTTACCAAAATACTGTTGTATTTAATGTCTATGGCATATTTACTAGTTACACAAAAAATTCATTTTTAGTCTTTGACATAATTATGAAAATAGTTCACAAATTAATATTTTCTTTTTGCTAATTTAAACTATGGCTTAAGTAAAATTTTTTAATTAAATTATTGAAATTTTTTTAAGGGGACAATACATCTGTTCCGTAAATCACAGAGATCATTGGTTGGAAAGTTAACACATGAATTTAGGTTGGTTGCAGCAGATAGAAGGGTAAGTATTGCTTTAAAAAATCATCATAATAATAAAAAGACATTAGCTGTGATAAGTTAGAATATATTATTAAGTATATTTTGAAAAATTTTCTTTGAATTTTCTAACTGTGCTTAAAAAAAGAATCCAGCTCTGAAGCTGAATCCCTTCCTGTGCACTGTCCCTGTTGATTAGTGTTCTCCAGAATTATACTTATATTTGATGTGTTCAGTAGAACTCTAAACTGAATATGTGCGGATGGTTTTTGGGACCAAAGTTTCAGCTCAAAAAAAGGAACCCAATAATATAAAGCTGTACAAGTCTGTCTTCAGAAGTCAGATGGTGTGTACTACAATACAATGCAAATATTAAACAGGGATGATTTCTTTTTTAGACCAAAAAGGTATTCTAAGTATGATGGACAAGGGCTGTTTATAAATGAGTTTTGAAATAATTTATAAAGTTTAAAATAGAATAAGGGCTTGCTGTTCTGAAATGAGTGGTAAATTTCTGGGAGGGGAGAGAAGCCAGTTCTGTTTGCATGATGAAGTGCTGCAATATTGTTTTTTAAAACAAAATAGATGTATTTTTGTCTTGTAAATTTTGGAAGATGTAAAATACATATTTATTCTCATCAACAGTCCTGGAAGATTTTGCTGTTTGGTGCTATAAATTTAATATGTATTGGCTTCCTGCTCATGTGGTGCAGCTCTACAAACAGCATAGGTAGGTGGCTCTCCTGTACTGAAACTACAACCGACTACCATGTGTTTCTTAGCTTGTGAAGTTCTGACAGACTGAAAAAGCAAAGTTCAGCAGGTAGTGGAGTTAGGTGGCTACACAGCCACATGCTGAAAGAGCTTCCTTTTGATTTGCCACAATCAGTTTAGAGACATTTTTCACAGGCAAGTGTGGATGGGTTAAAGGTTTTCCCAGCCTGCTGGTGGTTTGCTTCCTGCAGTATCTTCTTCATCTTTAAGACTGAAAACTAGTAGACTTCTGAGTTAGTCCTCAAACCTGTTCCTTGTGTAAATATCACCAGTGACATACAACAGCCCTCACTTGCAGTTGAACGAAGATGTTTGTAGTGTGGCAAATGGCTTGGGCTTCTTTGGTTCCAGGAATGCCCCATATCACAGTGTTTCTGTGATATTTTGACCTTGTCTGAATATTTCCCACCAAGCCATGGAGAGAAAAAGGGAAGAGAAAATGAGATGGAAGACAACTCTTAGGGTGAGATAAGGCACTTTACTAAAGCAAAAGGTTCAAAAGGTTGCGTGCTCACAAGCAAAGAGAAAAAAAAATTGCTCCCTTCATCCCATCAGCAAGTGATATTCATCCACTTCCCAGGAAGCAGGGCTTCAGCAACACATAGCAGTTGCTCTGGAAGGCAAACGTTCTAATAACGAATGCCCCTCTCCCTCCCCCCTCCTTTTCTAAGCTGTTATATTTGAGCTGACATCACATGGTATGGAAATATCCCTTTGGTCAGTTTGGGTGAGCTATCTTGGTTGTGTCCCCTCCCAGGATCTTGCCCACCCCCAACCCCTTGATAGGGGGGGAATGTTGAGAGACAGCGCTGATGCTGTGCCAGCGCTGCTCAGCAGCAGCCAAAACACTGGTGTGTTATCAACACCTTTGCACCTACCAGTGCAGAGCACTGCACTGTGAGGGCTGCTGTGGGGAAACGAACTCCATCTCAGCCAGGCCCAATGCAGTTTTGTATGTTTTCTACTTCTGAATAGGGGCTTTGAGGTCTTCTCTTCTGAAAATGGGATGTTGCACATTTTTAATTTTTGATACAGTTTTCTTGTGGTTTTGAGATAAGTCAGAGGTGCGAATCAAGTGAAAAATTCTGTTGAACCTACTTTTCACTGCAGTAATGCACAAAAGAAATCTCTTGCTTTGGGGGGTGGTGTGCTTTTGGAAGATCTCCTGACTTTTCTGTATGTAAATGCCTAGTTACAACTTAGTCGCAAATGTAATACCTTTTATGTCTGGGCATTATTTCATGGTTTAGTAGAATTGGGATTGCCATAATCAATCTGTTTGACGTTAAATTTAGAACGTTCACAGAGACTTGTTCTATCAGCAGAGATGGTTTATATAGATAGAAAATTGATGAGAGCTGCATGAAAGGGACTTAGAATACAAGTGATTTCTGCATTGAAAAACTGTATTAATTTTTAACATTTACTTTTTTTACAGCTTTAACTGCTTACACATATTTGACAATCTTTGACCTTTTCAGGTGAGTTTTTTTCTCATTTTGTCTTACTCTTCATTTGTCCCTGCCTTTTTATATTTCCATGCACTTAAAATTTACTTACAGATGCAAACACGTGTAACTTAATCATCAGTACAGAAACAGTAACTGGTTTAAATATAGAATGAATCAGTATAAAATTGGACATCACAATAAATAGATTATAAAAACCACCATGGCTGTATTACTAGTGGCAAATCTTTTCAGTCATGGAATTCTCTGTGCAGATGCATGACAACATAAAACAGATTCTAGCATCAAACTGTCATGTGGTTGTTCACTCAGAGCATTTCCCTAATGCCAGAGTCATTGATTGTGAAGTAACCCTCAGTTTTAGCATCAGTAAACAAGGAGTATGTAATTGTATTTCTGTTTCAAAAATATTAATGAGCTTAGTGCCAGGCACTCTTCCCATATGGTATTAGGTATTTTTAGTGTTTTTCTTGTTTCTTAAGAAAATGATATTAAAACTACTTTTCTGAACACTTTTGATAATATTGGTGGTACAGACATGAAATATATTCAGTTCAGTTAATCTGCACTGCATTAGAATTGTAATTTAACTTTAATGAATCTTGTATTTCTCTTACAATTTTGTATCTGCTGAGTTTTGTGGTCTTGGCCCAAAATACCTTTTTCACCTTGGGGGAAGTTTTGATGTTGTATTTCTTATTTGGGCAGAACTTTAGTTTTAGGAGAAGATAGAATACCCCTGGCAACTTTTCTAGGGTTGGACTAGAAGATTATCCTAACTCACAGTGATCTCTTTCAAGAGTTTTGATTTGCTCTAAGGGAGAACAATGCTCAGTAATTCTGCTGCAAAAATCAATTTCTGGTTATTTCATTTTTCTCATCTTCCTGGTTGTTT